AAGTATAAAATGTGGAGTTAAGAGGGAAGAAATGCCTGCAGATTCAGTGATGGTTGAAGGCCAGATAGGATAAATGAAAATTTCTCAGAAATGCTTACAAGGAAAAGGTTAAATGTCTCCTAAAAGCCTTAGGAAATTAAAGCCCAGTCTTTTAAAAAACACCTCAATCTGTGGATTGAGATGTTGAATCAAAAGCATGATAATTAAATTTACTAATAATACAAAGTTATGAGGTATTGCAAGGGTGAAGTGACAGATTTTCAAGATAACCAATTAGATTCTGAAGCTGGTCCTTATTTACCCCTCTGCCCTCCACTGCAGCTCTGGTTACCCACATATTTCCTTTAATGAGTTACATAAGGAAGGCCCATGGACTTGTCTCAGCAGGACCATTCCTATGCAGAGGCCTCCAAGTGTTTTGCGAAGTATGAATATCTGCCCATGCGTCTGCTGTGGTGCCTGGAATTCCATCATTGATGGATGATGTCTAAGGGCATGTCCAAGGATATGTCTCTAGGGGCAGGGCATTATCTCTAATATGCTAAATCACATGGAATGTGCTGCACCTCTAGTGGCTTTCTTGCTGGCCCCATGCAGAGACTAGCGGTGGCCAGAGAGAGGGGAAAGTTGGCCCCTAGATATACATCCATTAACTGTGGAGCCACCAATCCAAACCTACTCTATCTCCTCATTCCCTGCACCCCCGTTATTGTATGTTGTCTCTTTTTACTTACTGTCCTTCAAGTACGTTTAAACCGGCTTCTTTATACAAAGTGAAATTTGAAGTCACAGGAATGATTAAACATAGCCTCCCTCTCTGTTCAATTCAGACAGATGATTATTGAACACTTTCTTCAGGATATTGAACACTAAGAATCCAAAGATACATTAGACGCCAGAGTCTACCAAAGTAGAAGATGATGAAAGTAAATAGACAAAGGGCTTGGAGAGTATAGAGAAACAAGTGATTTATTCCATCAGGGACCTATAGAAGTCTTCCCAGGAAAGGTGACATTTGGGTTCAGTTTTGATAGGTGTATAAGACATCTTCAGGTGAAACAAGAGAAGGACATTGAAACGAGAGAAAAAAAAAATACTCTTGAGATTTAACACATGAGCCCTTAACACCCAAGTTCAGATGAGTAGTCATTCAATAGATCGTCATCAAGGACCTAGAAGGTGCCAGACACTGTGCTAGGTGAGGACCGAGGATGAAAAGACAGATGAAAACAGGACATGTTTTCTGCCCAGAAGGAGCTCACAGTTTTCCTGAAAGCTAGTTGTCACTGTAGAAAATAGCGTCCAGTCAGTGCAAGAGTTTGTACATGAGCAGGGTGAGGACAAGTTCATAACACAAGGCATCATTTAGAGAAGAATGCGCAGGTGGGTAATCTCAAGTGGGACTCACGTTTTCCAGGGCCAGCAGGGAGGGTTAAGGATGCCTCGGAAGACACAGGGCAGCAAAACGAGAGGAGCTTGGTGGAAGGAGACAGATCGAGTAACGAACAAAGTTTGGGTGAAACAACCCAGAAGTTCTTAGCTCTACTCAGTGGTCAGTACTCTTCTAGAATTTTTTTATTCATTGAGAAAAATGTTACATAGGCCACACCTCACAAAAGAGGCAACTAAGTAATTTACCCAAGGTCACAGTACAAGTGAGACGTGACCTAAGATCTTTCCGACTCAAAATCCACCCTCTTTGTACAATACCAAACTACCTTTCAATTTTAATTCACAATTTCTTTCAGAGCTCATTGTTCAGCTAGGTTGTCCACACCCTCTGCATTACATTAATCTCACCAAAAATCAGAACTATATCAGAAAAAAAGGGTTACTCAGATGGAACTACCCTTTAGAGTATTGGCCATAATACAGCAGATGTGGGTTAGAATATCCCACTTGGGTAGCTAAAACTATAATTGAGAAATAGGGAAGATGCAATGTATTCTTGAGACACTTGGTTACTTGAGATGAAAAGTCTATGTCAAGGATTTCTTTTGACCCAAGAAATGGAGATGATGATTCAGGAAGAGAGGGAGGATATTACTGTTTTCTCAGAACTCAGCATCGTGTCTGGCCCATGGTGGTACTCAACAATTATTAATTGAATGGATGTCAAGGGAAAGGTAAAACATCAAAGATGCTCATTTGAACCTACGTATTATCAAGGTTATTCTCTGGTGGTGCTGTTTTTAATAATCATACCAAATATTGTTGGGAGTATAGAGATATCAGCATCTTCTTATATTACTGTAGATGTATAAATTGTTTGGATAATAGATTGGTTATATTTATCTAAAACTTTAAAATATGCCTCCGTTTTCACAAGAAATTATAATTCTATAATTTAATACTACTGATATATGCAGAGATGTTCATCCCTATTTACTGTGGTAAAAATTAGCAACAACCAAAAATCTCCAACAGGAAATAGGTTAAATAAATCATACTGTAAAAGAATATTTAATAACATGATAAGATTTTCATTAAATATTCTAAAATAAAAATTGAAAATATTATAAACAGAATGTGCAATATTATTATATTTTCCTAAAAACAGAGAATTTGTGTGTCTATATTTACATGTGTCCACAACAAAGGACCAGAGGAATTTGTAGCAAAATGTTCATAACAGCCATCTCTGGGAAATTTGAGTAGTTTTTATTTCTTCTATGTGATTTTCTGCATTTTTGCAAATTTTCTACACTAAATATATATTTCTTTCATAAAAAAAACCTCAAGCAACAAAATCAGAAAATTATTTTCAAATTATATGAAAGATAAAGGGTTATTGTCCTTAATCCCCACCCTTCTCCCAAAAAAGAATGAGTAAAAAGACATGAGAAGACGGTTCTCAGAGAAGCAAATAATAATGGCTAATAAACTTATAAAACTATGTTCGACTTGGCCATCAATCAAAGAACTGCTAATTAGAATAACACGGCACTATATGAATGTGAATATTCATTATTGGTGAGGGTCCAGTAACAATATATTTGAGGAAAGCAGCTTGCCAGTATGAGTGAAGAACCTTGAATAACTCATAGCTTTTGACCCAAGAATTCCGCTTCTTGGAATCTATCACAGGAAGCAGTCCGAAATGGGGGACAATGATTGATGTGCAAGTATGTACATCACAAGGTTGTGTGTACTCCTAGGATTCATGAATATATATATTCGAGGAATCACTGGAATAAACCTTAGGGAAGTGTATGTTGACTCGCTTGAGATGTTTTGACTGGGGCCTAAAGAGACGGGGAGAATTTATGCCCTGGGGCCAAGACAGAGATGATGGAGAAAATGGCATAGTGTCTTGCTATATGTCCTGCTCACCTCGTGGAATAAGTATGACCCTGTGCGTTAGTCAAGATTCTCCAGAGAAATAGAACCAATAGGATTTGTATGTGTATACAGACAGAAAGAGATTTATTATAAAATGGAATTGGCTTGCATGATTGTAGAGGCTGGAAAATCCAAAACCTGCAGAGTAAGCCAGGAGGCTAGAGACCCAGGAGAGCCAATGCTGCAGTTCCAGTCTGAAGGCCAGAAAGCTGGAGAATTCTCTGTTGCTCCTGGGAGGCTGCTCTTTTTGCTCTATTCAGGCCTTCAACTGATCAGATGAGACCCACCCACATTAGGGAGAGCAGTCTGCTTTCCTCGAAGTCCACCAAGTTAAATGTTAATCTCAGCCAAAACACCCTCACAGAAACACAGGATAACGTTTGACCAAATATCTGGGTACCCTGTGGTACCAGCCAAGTGGACACATAAAATTAACCAACTCATTCTGTCTCTGATGGAGGGACTGCCCGTGGAAGACAAAGGAAATGTTCTAATGAAGATTGCTTTAGACACAGGCGGAAGCAATGTTACTCTGGGGCCCGAGGGACAAAATTTGACCAGAGTGGAGAAAGAGGCTTTCTGGAAAACATAGCAATGATCTGATGTGATGAATAACTAATGAGTCAGCACCGTTTGGATACCTCAAGCGTTTGCTCCTCTAGGAACTGGCAAACAAGGCCCCATCTTCAAGTGGAAATTTGTTACACAGTAATAGATAACGAATACAGTAATACCTTACAATACTGAATCTGCTTTTAGCCTATACTCATGCCAAATGTCAATAAACTATGAAAGATTGCCACGTTAGGCAGAGTAAATATTATTTTGATTTTTCCTCTTCATGTTGACATAAAGTACTTTTAATTAAGTAACAATGATAGCATCCTAAATTTCAGTAATAGTTGGTGTACCATAAAAATGCACATTTCTAATCACTCAATAAAGCTACTTGAATTGAGATATTGTTTTAGTTTGTTAGTTAATTAGCTTGTTGGATCAAGCCGACGACAATGATTGATGGGAAAAAAGGGATTGGGTGGTTGTTGCTGCCACCGCTGCTGTTTACATCTTAAATGCCTGTCGCACGGAAGGCATTCTATGAATGAATATTGATGAATGGATTTCCCATAAATGAAATGCAAATCTATTTTTTCAAATGATGAGGTGTTTGTGTTTCACTGAGTTCATGGGTTTACTATGCCACTGATCTTTTGAATGTCTATTTTCCTCTATTTCTTATCATTTGGATTACACTGCTGTCATTAGGAATAGGTTTTGATATACATAATTGCTACACCCATTGTTCTACTTTGTTAAAAACATTGACTCCTAGACACAGATCTGTTGAGCCTGTTTCCGGTCTCCAATGAGGACCATGAGTTGGAAGGTAGAGCGTGTTCCGAGATGTGCAGCAACCTTCTGAACCAGGAAACCAGATTTCTATCTTCCTGCCCTCCTATTTATCCTTTCAAGGGAGAGAAGCAACATTAGCTGTGTAACTAACCTGCTGGCTCAGGTTCCTCTTTGTCCTTCTTAGTGAGCTGTTTTCTTTTTTGCATTTTATTTCTACATTCTGAAGTATTTATTTCTACATGCTGAAGTATTTGAAAAAACTTTGATTTTTATCAACTTACATTTTTTTCCCAAAAAAGGTTATTTTCTTTAAAATAGTTGGCCAATTAATTTAATATTAAATGAAAACAAGATCTTTGATATTTATTGTTCTTACTTTCTTATTTCAGTGAAATATAGATACTTCATACCTGGACCTTTGTTTACAAAGTCAGGTCATACTGAAGACCCTCCTTTTGAAATAAAATTGATGTCCTAGATATAAAGTGTATCAAATCAAAGCAATTGAATTCAGAAGCACAAAACAAACACTAGCCAGCCAATTATGTACATTAGAAAATCTGGGGAATGCAGACATAGAATCTAGCCAAAGACAAGTCAGGATTTCATCTACAACCACTACTACTAGAATAATTAATTCAAGTAGGACTTTTAGCCCAAAGTTGATCTAGTACCTACAGTAAAATGATAGTCAACTATAGCAAACATTATACAGCTATGCAAATATTAAATCTTAAGGATTTGGGGGGGTCTTCTATTTTTTTCCCCAAATCTTTGTATTTCAGGAAACATTCCTCTTACAGGAACCAAACCAAGTTCAGCCTCTTCAACTCCAGCCATGATCAGCTCTGCTGTGGTCAGAGATTTACTAGCCACAGCACTCATTTGGTAAGTGACCATCAAATTACAGGCTTGAAAGAATTTTTTGAAGAATTCCTTTACAAAATCTTTATCAATTAGGTATGCAGACTCCATTTTACCACTTCCAATGACTGAATTTATTGTCTCCTGAGAAAGTCAGTCATACTTTTGAGCAGTTTTATTTACTTAAAACGTTTACCTGCCGTTTCAAAATAGTTGTCTGTTGGTCATAATTCTGCCCTGTAAAGCCACAGGAAAAGTCTAATCTTCCTTCCCCCAGAGAATCCTTTATCCACTTAAAGTACAAACGAAACATGGCTGTCTTAGGTTTTTCTCGTCTGGTCAAATGCCTATGGGGCTGTGTATACTCTCCCTCCAGGACCAACAGCCACACTGCAAATGGAAGCTGGGTCAAAGGAGTGGATGGGAGCCGGAATGCAGGCCACTCTCCACAGGCTACAGTAGCCACCCATAGGAGGGAGATGTCTTATATAATTTTTACGAAGTCATCTCATCAGGTCCACTTACCAACCTTTCCACCCGTAGGACGTAGTTTATCTGGAGAAGTCGCCTTCTTCTTATTCAGACACAGACGTTATGTAGGTTAGAGGGATCTGTGCTCCTTACATGACATGACGTCAAATCTCCCCTCTGTGGCCCCTTCCTAAATTTTTCTGTAGCTATCACTGTGCCTACATCACTAGCTTCTCAAAGATGGATTTTTCTGAATCTACTTTTTCTTCTTAAAAGTTACATATGGATATGCAATGAATTATATTTTAACACCATCTTTATTATTCCACAATTTAGTTCTTCAATACCTCTTGTCTAATTACTGCAAAATTGAACTCTTTGACCTGGTTTTCAAAGACTATCATAAATTGGGTCTGACTTGAAAATTTAATGCATTAGGTTCAAAACTGAACTGATTATCGTTATCTCCAAACCCACTTCTTTACCACATTTTGTAAATCGCGTTACCATCTATCCAGTCGCCATGAAGGAAACTTGGGATCACATCTTCATTTCTGCTTCTCCTTCGCTCTCCCACTGAGGTCGTCCCCTGGGCCTGGTAGTTCTACATCTGCACTGTCTTGCATGTCCTTTCTACTCACTACTCTCCATTTCCACTTTCCTGTCTGAGTTTCGATTGTCATCTCTGACTTCTTTGTCTCCAGTCCAGCCATCCAATCCATCTTTTACAATGAGGTTTGCTATCTAAATTTCAAGATAACTGGGCCTCTGCAATGCTTTAAAGCCTCTTTGATGGTTTTCCTTGTATGTAAAAGGGAAAATATCTAATTCATATGGCATGGCATTCAAGAGTCTTTTGATTCTGTCCTGTTTGCTCTCCACAATGGGAACACCATCGACTCCCATAGATGTATACTTCAGAGGATTCCCGCTCATTTAGAACTCCGGTGCTTCCTACTTCTTCCCGAATGTGAGCCCCCATCATGGCTATGATAACCTAATTATCTTTGTTTCTAGTTCATGCCAGTTATCAGTGGCCTTAAACAATAATCATGCTTCATAATCAAGATAGGAACTACTAGTAGGGATTAATTTATTAAACTAGAAAAAGTCCCCTAGGAATGGCACTTTAAATTTTACCATGATTTCTGTCTGTTTTTCTGTCTTTAAATGGCTGACATAAGTGTACCAATTCTGTTCTTAGTAGACCCTGCCTTGTTGTAAATGACAACATCATGGTTGAGTATTAATTATTTGTACCTTTGCTTGTTACCTAGCACTTTGTGATTTCTATATACTTTCTTACTGCAAAAACATTTCTCCTCCTGTTCTGCAAATCCACAGAATATAGAATCCACATAAAAGCATGACCACTTGCTTTTAACTATGTTGGCGAAACATTTACCAATCATTTTTCCTCCCAACTAAGTAACATCAGAAGATTTTAACCTGTAAAGAAGTTAGATTGGAATCTGTTTTAACTTTACTCCTAATATGTTATGTTAAAATATTAAGATACTGTAATGAAAAAATTTTAAAAATAAAAGTTCTTATCAACAGAAAGCTTAACTGGCTCCTTGTCATCCCAACCTTCTTGATAGTTCAAGTAGAGACAAAGCAGACAAAAAAAAAAAAACTCCTTAGAATTTAAAATAATTTAAACCCACAGATAGAAGGGGGACTGAGTCAGATATAAACCTGGGATACAGGAGGGTATCCAGATTTCCTAGTTTTTCAGGAGTGATATAGATCTGATGTCTCTAAGCCCAATGCCCTCTTGCTTGACCAATATATTACTTAAAAATAAATAAAGAATCAAAACCAACCAAAAGGGAGGGAGGATGCTACGCTGACATCATTCTTCTCTTTGAGAGCAGTTTCAAAGTTTCGTGAAATAGTTTCATGGTTGGGGGTGCTATGAGCACAGGAGGAAAGGTTTTGCTACACAGTGACACATGTCTAGACAGTGAACAGACTTTCTTAGAGCTTAACTATTTGAGTTCGTTACAAAGTCCACACCTAAATGGCTTTGCAGTTTTCCTGGAGGATTCAAGCCTCAAGAAGGAAGAGCAGCTGGGCAGGTGATAGGTCCTGGGGATGTGCCCCAGCCAGACTGCTCCAGGAAGTCGTGGATAGGAAGTGAGAGGTTGGGAACTCTAGACTGAAGAAGACAGTGTGTGAAAATGAAACCCAGTAAGGCAGTCTGAGCCATCACAGATCAAGAAGGAAAAAAAACCACAATCATTTCAAAATTGGTATCTCATTTCCTTTGTCCTTTCTATGGAGTGTGTCATTAATATTTATGATGTTTTAATAATATTTGCCTCATTTTGAAAAAGACAAGTCTCTAGAGTTGGTTTCCGTTGTTACCAATCGATGAGAAGACTGGGGTAGCATTTTAGTTCCCAAAGAAGACAATGGAACCACCTAATTGTGATTAGTCTGAACCGTAGCCTCAAAGTCTCTAAGAATGGGATCCAATCCATCTGTTTTAATGGCTGGCATTCCATTACCTTATCTGAACTCTAGCATTCTTCAAACTACAGATCAGGACCCATTAGGGGTCATTAAAACAGTTTAATAGGTTGAGATTAGAATTTTTGAAAACTAAAATAAAATAGAATTAAGCAGAACAGAAAACAAATTTCCTCACACATGGAAAGGGTAATGTATTAGTCTGGATAAGCTAACCTATACTTGTTATCTAAGTGCCTTTAACACAATAAAACATTTCCTTTGCATTCATGCAAAGCCAGTTCAGGTTAGGTAAGCCGCCTCTGTCTTACGATTCAGAATGTGTAACGGGTGGTCTCCAAGTCAGGGTCCCTCCCGCGGCAGTGAGGAGAGAGTGTCAGGGCCACACAAGATATATTTAAGGGTCAGGCTTGGAAGTGGCTTGTGTCACATCTGCCCACATCCCATGGGCCAGCCTTTGGTCATGTGGCCCCAGTCTAACTTTAAGAAAGGTTATACAACACCATCCTCTTGTGCACAAAGGAGAGAAAGTGGAAATGAAATTTCTAATACAGCACGCCATTTACAGCCACTCTTTATTGAGTTCAACATTTATGAGCTTCTGTAGGATGTCATTTAGATATTTTAACAAACACCTCACCTTTCCTGGAATAGTAAACATCAAATTTTATTTTCTTTTTCTGAAAAGAAGGTACTTTCTGTCATTATTGGACCAAAAACAGAGGTTCATCTTTATGTATTTTGATTTTCCTATCAAGTTAATTACATGGACGTGTATTGAGCATCCAGTAGTGTATCAGGCCCCAAAGATGAATGTGACAGTAGTTCTTCCCATTTCTGTATGGTCTGTTTCCATATCAGCATCATTTCTTCAGCCATGTGCTCCTCTTGAGCTCCATCACAAGGCCTCAGATAGCCACACTTAGAGATTGTCTTTTGCCCTAAAAATAATTGGAAATATGCAAAATTTCCTAGTCTGAGGAAAAAGTTACCTTATTATAAAGAATTTCAATTCTGGTGAAGAATTACTGGTGGGCTAGACTCCTTGCTTGAGCTTCTGATTCCTTTTGCCTAGCCACTCTCTATGGCTTCTGTGTCCATGTCCCTTAGTCTTTATAGTATTGGTGCCTGCCACTGACTAGAAGCTGCTATGGACTGGATTGTGTCCTCTCCCCCCATTTCATATGTTAAAGCCCTAACCCCCATTGTGACTATATTTGGAGACAGGGATTTTAGGAGTAATGAAGGTTAAATGAGGTCATAAGGTTAGGGTCCTGATTCATAGGACTGGTGGCCTTATAAGAAGAGAAGAGACACCAAAGAGTTCTCTCTCTCAGCACACACACACACACACACACACACGGAGGAAAGACCATGCGAGCACCCAGGGAGAAGGCAGCAGTCTGCAAGCCAGGAAGAGGGCTCTCACCAGAACCTGACCATGCTGGCACCCTGATCTCTGACTCTCAGCCTCCAGAACTATAAGAAAATAGATTTCTGTCATTTAAGCCACCCAGTCTATGGTATTTTGTTATGGCAGCCCTAGTTGACTAAGACAGGTGCCTACCTTGGATCACCAATTATGGTATGTAAAGTGTCAAGGGCAGGTTCCCCTCACTTTCCAAGCTGAGTTCATTGCTTCCGTCTTTCTGTCATTAGAGGACCTTGCATACACACTGCGTGCATCACACTCTATCTTCCTTACTTGTGTACACATTCTCTCATCTACAAAAATGTAAGTTCCTGCAAGGGAGAGATCAGTGCAAAGATAAGGCCTAATGGTGGGTACACCTGAAATAAGAGGCAAGCATTATTATCTCCATTTTGCAAATGAGAAAGCAGGCTCTGATATGACTCTGAGGTCATGCTGTGAGTAATCAGTGGAATTAAGATTTGAACCAATGTATGTCGATCTCCAAGGCGCATTTTCTTTTAATATTAGGTTGTAAACTTTCTCTCTTCCCTTTCCCCCATCTTGCCAATCTTTTGGACTTGGTTCCAGAACACTAGCTCAGCTTCACCACTGAAGTACTTACTTCTCTGCTTTTTTACCATCTCTGCCCCTTCAATCCCGTCAG